GGTTCGACGTTTCGACATCACTAGATTCACTAGCCGGTCGAGATCGGCAATGACGGAGCGGGTGCGACATGGACCCGTGTTTTTCCCTTGGGAGGTCAATGGGAGGTAGGATACCGAATTTCTGTGTTTGGCTCCGGAATTTTCCCCCACGCTTTCTGAGCCCAAATTTGAATGTTTCAGGCCGAGCGCAGAAAAATCAAATTTTTGGAATTTTGTTCGAAAATCTTGTCCGGACTCCGGCGGACTCCGGTATCCTACCTCCCACGGGATAAACTCGGGTCCTGGGACCGCTCTTCGTCATCGGCGAAGTGCGGCGAATCCTTTTTGTGGAAGTGCACGGAATGTTTATTATTAATATTCTCATTTTTTTTGAATTGGAGTTATTCGGTTTTGCGTGTGTGGGCCGAGTTCCACTTATTGTGGCACGGGAGTGGGACTGGACGAGTCCCACTCCCACTAAAATGATTGTTACTGCCAGACCTGTGAAGCGCAAGGTGGTCTGCATTCTTTCCGCATGGGATCTCTCCCTCGCCCGTGATGTCCCCGCCGGGGTCCTTCATACCGCACTCATCTGCTCATCATATATATTACAATGGACTTACTGTAATAAACATTTCCCCACCGTAACCTCTGATCGACTTATCCTTATCACATCTTGATTCTCACGGCAGATCCCGAATTTTGGGCTATTTCGGGGTAGGTCTAGTGACAGCACACTGACAGCTGCCAACAAGCCACTGTGACTTATCATTCTATAAGCCACATGCCACTTGTGTCATGAGTGCCTGTGGGCGACTCAGCAAAAGAAATATCACCTTAATATTTTAGGAAGCAGCTCTGACGAGCGTATAAATGGAAAGCCCAAAGGCTCATCGTCAGTCCAGAGCAATGCCTTCGTTCTCGTCTCTTATCACTCTCTGCTTCCTCTCCGCTTTCTGCAGCTTGTCTGTGCAGTCAGCACCATCTACAACTGGTCATGCCGTCGTCGGTCGCCTATACACTCATAACATTCCACTAATGAATTTTCCGATACAGGGACTGTATGCTCGACAGGTGCAAGCCCCCAATCCGTTCGGACTAGGTCCATTTCCACCTGGATCCACAGCCCTCGTCACCGCTGTGTCCCATGCGTTATTCACGCAGAGACTCGTCGTTACGGGTCCCCCTGCCCCCTGCACTTTACAGGGATCAGGCGAAGGCGTAGACATGACCGTCCTTGGTAGCGATCCGACCAGTCCCACCCCGACCCAATGCACCTTCGAGCCAGCTACGACCGCGGATTCCTTACCTCTCAGCGTTCTCTTTCAATTTTCCAGTACCGGCCCTAATGGAGTGTTCAACAACACGCCTATCGTCAAATTTTCCACTCACATGATCCAGAACGTCATCTCCACGACCGAAGATTCCACGGACAATGACGAGAATGACACCGAAGCTACCGTGACGATCACGGTCGTCCTCTTCCCTAACAGCACGGCACCTGCACAGTCGACCGTCTCGACATTCGAGCACTCCGAATCTGGCACTCTGATCGCGACGCACTGGTACTCGGTGGTTACCGGAGAGTCGGATTAATTTGACTGTCTGGAGCACACACCTTCTTAGTTTCTCAATTTGTTTTTTGTTTTTTGTTTCTCGGAATGTGTTTGTACGAGACTACTTGCAACATCGAGCACAATAAAATCACGTGATCGATCGCTAGAATGTTCATCGTCAGTTCAGAGGTTCAATCATAGTCCATGGGCCGCTTGAGAAGTTTTTTTTCTGCACAGATATAAAGCTGGTTGAATAATACCGATTATAATTGAATATTGGGTGTCAATTTTCAAAGTTTGAACTCACGTAAGGCCCGATTTCAATCACAGAGCACTAGCTCTGAGCCTACAGAAAACGCTCTGAACTTCTCCAGTCGTACCACTGGCTCGCGATGGATTCGCCATCTCAGCAAGCCTCATCAACATAAGTCGACATCAAGATACTGTTACGGGATGGTCGGCGGCGTCGCCCATGGGACGATTCGTAAGCAAATACAGTGTGAGCTCCTCCTATGCCACCCTCAAATATGGTGAACTTGCCCGCAGCTGCAGGTCGATATCGAACATTCCATACGGGGTTGTCAACACCACACGTGCCGCCATCAATCATCTCACGCCGGCTTCTTAAAGTCAATTCCTTCTTGCCTCCGCACATCATCATCTCCCTCGACGCCCGCAGCACCCTGCGCCGTCCGACTCAATGGAGGCGTTCTTCGACAACAAGACGAACATCATCAATGCACGCATCTGTGCCGTGCTCGACGAGGCGGTGATGTACACCGCGGAGACCAAGTTCGAGTTCCAGGGGCGCGTGCGCACGATCCTGCTGGACGAGAACCCGCTGCCGGGGACGGGGGCCGCCGGCGCGCCGGCGGTCGTTGGCGCGATCAACTGGAAGGACAAGAGCTTCGAGGTGCACGGTCACCGGCGCAAGTGCGCCGAGCTGCGGCGCACGACGGGGAACCTGTTCACCAAGTACACACGCTCAGGCTTGCCGTCGCATGGCTTTGTGTGCACGGGCTAAGGAGCTGACGTGCGTCGCGCAGGCGCAAGTTTTGGCGGTGGTCTGCCGCGCGGATGGAGTTTGAGCTGTCGTACACGCACGAGGAATGGAAGGTTTGCTCGCAACTTGCCGTACTGGATGACGCGCTAACGACGGCGCTCGCAGGCGACGATAGAGGACGGCAAAACGATCGTTGGTCGCTTCTGTGTCCCATTTCGCCCACATCTGTTCCACAAGTCGAAACCAGCAGTGATACATCTGACGCCCACCGCGCTCGCCGAAGACGAGGTTTTTTTGCTGCTCGTGTTCATCTACGAAGAGGTCAAGCGGCAGGATAAGACAGTGCGTCCTGTGTCGGTGGTCTATTGTGTTTTAGTGACTCTGCATGCAGAATACGTCGACACCAGGGGGCACAGGCGGCTGGTAGACGCAAGCGTAGGTAAATAATTGCTATCGAGGCCGTAACAGAAAGTCGGGTTCGAATTCACTCCATACCAAGCCTGGTTCGCATGTATTTCATTTTCACGTTAAAGAGAACGGGGCGAACGTTCCGCCCCAAAGGGAAAGCTCGGAGACCTTTTCGAGGCCGCGTGCCTACGTGCAGTTCCTTTGATTTGGCACACTGAGAGCCGAGCGCGAGGAAGCGGCTCTGGAGTGACGTGCGCCCACAAAATCGAGCTTCAATTGCTTGGTTGTCAACCTGCCAGTCCTCAAATGCCCACAACTTCATGTCGCGAATAGGCAGTGCGTGCTTTGCTCCCGGAGATAGGGCCTTTTTCCGCCCTTTATCTACTCTATCGCTGACCCGACCGCCCTAATAGGGAGTGACCTGTGACACGTTGACACGACAACGTCAAGCAAAGCTTGCCTCGCACCGCCATGCGCCCGGACCCTCTGCTTGTCCTCCTGCCGCCGCCGCTGCTGCTGGTAGTGATTGTGGTCCTTGCCTCCTACCGGTCATCTGTCTGGGCGGCACTTGCGAAAGACCGGGGGCGCGCCTTGCTCCGCGATTCTGTCGACGCGGTATTACACTCTATAACACGCCAGAGTTTGACACCCTGCCACCTCCCCCGATTGAACCTACTCGGAATCCGTTCATGCCGCAGAAAAACGAGTCTTTTGTCCATTGCCTGGAGGCTGCGAAGAGTCGCCGAAGGGCCCCCGGTGTTTGGGGATCAGTATCTGTGCATCCGGCGTAGCGACTCGTATTGATATCCGCAGGCTAGCCCGTTTGTAATGCGCGCCGCAGATACCAGCAGGAGAGAAGTCATGGTCAAGGCGGCATCTGTTAGGGAAGCACACGTCATACGCAAACTAACATCACCTAGGATGTGCGCACTCCCTGGCAATCCTACGATCCCGCTCCTAGACATAATTGAATACAACTCCGTCATGTTCTTGGTCCAGCCGTGCTGGGGTGACTGGGACAGGACTGGACCATTGACGGAGGCGTTTTGGGCGGGAACCGTGTTGGTCCAACTGTCGGAAGGGTTGGCCTTCATGCATGATCTTGGTATTGCTCACGGCGTATGTTTTGAGCATATGATCACGCGTTTTCTAACACCTGTGAAAGGACCTTCATCCGGGCAACATCGTTGTTAACCATCATGATGGTCGGTTGTTGCGAGACAAGTGTCCCTCCTTCGAGCAGTTCAAACGTAACCCTGCATCTACCTAGCTTTTATCGACTTTGGTCCTCTACAGACTGCTTGTCGCCTGCGACACTGGCGTCGGTCCTCAAGTCCCGTTCAGGGTCCAGAGCGTGATTCTGGTCCTGGATACAACCCGTTCGCGTTCGACGTCTTGAGTCTTGGGCGCATATTTGGTCAATCACATCATCCCGCCGAGGTGCGTGTAATGCCTTATGTCACAGCATATATAGTATCCACAACAATTGGTTTAGATCTCCATGCCCTATCAGAAGATATGACCGATCTTACTCCCGAAAAACGCCCCACGGCTAGACTGGCATTAAAGCATCTCCACGACCTCAATGCACACTATATATAGACAAAATTCCAAGTTCAATCGGATCATCGTACATGTGTCGATCCATCAGCAAAGAAATACTGGAGTGAGTGGCACTCACCAGGTAAGCGCCAAAGACCCCACTTGAAATACACCGAATTAAATTTGGATTCCGGCAACGAGCAGGTTTCGCTTTCAATTCTGAGTCATGCACAAGACCTCTACTTGGAGCTTCAATCCGTCCTTTTTGACTTCCTGATTCTAGCCTCAATTTCTGTTCACACCAATCAATAACCTTTCATGATCAGCTGTACCGATAATCCGCCTACTTCTGCCCCCTGACAGAACCAATTGTACTCACATACTGTCTCAATCAATACATCGTTTGGATACGCACTGGCAGTCGTGATTAACGGTACCTGCAAATGCTCAAATGGCATGATCGAGTCAAAGATATTACAATATTTTTTTTCAAAAAAGGACTGTGAAAAGAACTCTCGACCTGGGAGTCGAACCCAGCTTTCGCGCGGGAAGAAACGATTTCGACCTATGACAAGCGCGTGTACTAACCGATATACTAGTCAAGACTGGGTGAGTGTGCACGGCCCCCTCTCATGCCGGATTCAAGTTGTCATCGTGCCCCATCACTTCTCTGGCATGAACCTGAGTGAGCCAACTGAAGTCTGTGTGCATTGCCAGATCACCATGCAGTATGCTCGGCGACGAGCGCTTGCAATGGCGACATCCAATCACCGCCTGAGGCTCCGGCCAGTGTGCGCGTACTTATTCACCCGACAGTCCAAATAAGAAAAGTATTGAAATCACCCATATATAATAAAAATATAAGAATGATATATTACTACTTATTAACTACTTATTTTCGAACGTCACCATAGTTGTTGCAGTCCTTGCCGGTAATTGCTAACGTTATAACGCTCATACTATGAGTGACACGCACTTGACTCCGAAAGGCCACCGCCCGTGCGTGTGTGAAGGCTAGAAGACCAGCTCGGCGGCGCACCCGAAGTGCCGAGCGCGCGAGATCAGTATCATTGGGACGGGCGGCCTGCCACTGACGTGGAAGACAGTTGTTCATCTGCCGAAGTTTATCGCTATCTGACAGGCTTGTTAGTACAAGGCGAACATAAATATTCATGATAACAATGTAATATGACATTCATATTACATTGAACCCCATCTCTCAAATTAGCATCGGACGGAGCTTGGTATCACGATGTCGACGGATGATTCCCTGCCGCGATTGATTCGATGCAAACGCCGTGTGCATAGGAATTAATAGAAGTTACAATTAAGTCGGGGCGCCATCTCACTCTTCGGCTGTCAAGCCACACACTTTCAAACAGCTATCTACCCTAGCCGCCAGATTGATTGGCAAATGCTTCCTCCACGCATTAATGTTGCTCGCATCAACGGTGTCGGGGAATCCCAGCGCTGCCTCAATCACATCACTGTCGAACTGCAACAGGTTGTTCAGGAGATCGCTGCGGCCCGCATCCGTCGTATCGAACCCGGCGACGAAAACAGCCGGATCGCAGGTCGGGTTCTGCTGGAAGTGCATGCTGCCCCTGGGAAAAACGGTCGCCTGGAATTTTCCGAGCTGTGTCTTCACCACCTCCGTGAACCCATTCTCGACCACCATGGAGGTGTCGAGAACGCCTTCGACGAGGGTGAAGAATTCGTTGCCGCGAGGATGGAAGTGGGGGATGTTCAGCCCTCACGGGGCGACGAACGAGACGGCCCCGCTGACGCTGAGGTCCGTCAGGATGGGGAAAATGTCGCCGTTGGCTAAGAGGATGGAACCACCCGGGCCGGAAGCCGATTTCGTTTGTTGGTTCAAGTCGAATACGGTGAGCTGTCGGAGCGCGTCGCCCGTGAGGAGGACACCATTGTTATCCGTCAACAGCTTCTTGAAACGATCAACTGTGCTGGTCTCGACGAGGAGTTCTGCGGCTATTGCTGCCCCATTTGTGATAATGGGCACTGGGGGTGGATGGGGGACCTTTTCGCCAGCAGGCGCGGTGAGGAAAGACGATACAGCATGGACGATGGCGGCGTAGAACTTGAAGAGTGCTACAGGTGGGGATGTTAGCAAACGGCAAAGGACGTTTACAAGACGAAGACGAACTGGGTAAAATTCCTGGCACGGGAAGCCGATAGGACTGTACAGTGACAGAGACCGATCGACCTTTAGACTCTACACCGCCAAAGCGCCGTCAGGCGCCAGCCAGCTGGCAACTTCAGCTGGGATCAGCCAATTCGCCAGCTGGTACCAGCCAGTATCCAGGCGGTTGCCAGCTATTCTTCCCCAGGCGCGAATACAGCTGGCTTCCAGTTTGGCAGCCAGACGCTTCGCATCTTCCCTGACAGCTGCCAGTGGATTGCCGTAAAATGTCGTTGAGTGGCGACGTTTAGAGAGAGAGATATTACATACTACTACATTGATTTATTATCCTGCACCGCTCATCAAAACATTGCAAATGCATATCTGTCTGAAACATAAAACTTGGAGTACAATCTCGAACTCCACGAGACAGTCTACTGTCTTTCAAACTCCGACTGAAAATGGCGTGACTTTTCCTTTGTTGATCGTCAGGTGACACGTTGACTCGCCTGTCCTTCCCATCACGCTCGGTCGCTCGCCCCACTGACCGCTGCCTGTTCTACATATCCACCCACCTGCCCGCTCGCTCGCCCGCGCCCTCAACCCCCACCCGATCGCTTGCCCCCTCGCTTACCCTCCGCTCGCTGACTTGGGGACTTCCACAAACGCGTCAAGCCGCTAGAAGCCCATCAAGCCCCTGCTAGAACTCGTCAAGCCAGTCAAAGCCCTGCTACAACTCGTCAAGCCAGTCAAAGCCGTCAAGCCGCTGGAACTCGTCAGGCCAAGTTCCGTCAAACTTGGAGAATTGTCAACGAGCTGCGGCCATCGGCACAGAATTCAATTCACGCGCACGATTGAAGAATCGAAATACCACCAGCACGCAAGCAAGGGCACGATGCCAAGGTCGCGCGGTGCGTGCATCATTTTGTTTGCCGTGACCTATCACTCACCATCGTTCAGCGCGTTCCGGAACATCTTGAAGACACGCCGCGCGCACCCACACCCGCGACACGCCGCGACACGCCGCGCACGCACCCGCAACATGCCACGTGCACCCACACCCGCGACATGCCGCGCGCGCACCTGCGACATGCCACGCGCACCTGCACCCGCGACACGCTGTGCACGCCGTGTGCGCACCCGCACCCGCACCGGCCGCAACACGCTGAGCGCACCCGCAACACGCTGAGCGCACCCGCACCCGCACCCGCCGCTACACGCTGCGCCCAGCGACACCCACCCGCACCCCCGACACGCCGTGCACGCCACGCGCGTACCTGTGACACGCCGCGCGCACCCGCACCCGCACACGCCGCGCACACCCACACCCGCGACACGCCGTGCACGCCGCGCGCGCACCCGCGACATGCCACGCGCACCCACACCCGCGACACGCCGCGCGTGCACCCGCGACATGCCACGCGCACCCACACCCGCGACACGCCGTGCGTGCACCTGCGACATGCCACGCGCACCTGCACCCGCGACACGCTGTGCACGCCGTGCGCGCACGCGCACCCACACCGGCCGCAACACGCTGCGCGCACCCGCACCCGCGCCCGCCGTTGAACGCCGCGCCCACCCGTATAATTGTATATATGTAGCCGAAAAATGTAATTCTTTTTTTTGTTTTCTTTTTACTCGTTGTGGTGCTAAATGAGATGTGGGTGAAAATGACCCCACCACCTTTCTATCTACCTGATGCCCATCCGGCTCTCTGGCTGGCTGCCAGCTGAACTGGATCCAGGGTGGACCCATTCGCTCCCTACGCTGGAATCCAGCTGGGGACCGACTGGTCTCCAGCTGATGTCTACACCTGTTCCACATGCGGATCCCAGCCCTCAGCCAGGTGGGGTCACTTTGGCGGTGTAGAGCACTCCGGAGTCCTCGAATTCGGTCTTAAGTATTGAATACTGCGTTGTTTCAGACGAAAGGCCGTGATGATTACGTCACAGATCCTTGGGATGTCGGGCCCGCCCTTCTTTGGGGGTCCATGCTGTGCCATGAAGGCGGCGGCGTGGTTGAGCGCGATTGTGATGCAAGACCGGACGCTGTGCAGGAGGCGACCTTGTCTTTGGGGTCGGCTTGCCAGTCAGCGACATCTCGACCATGGCCCATTAAGTATTGTCGTGGGGGTAGGGCGACAAGCAAACCTGGCAAAGACGGTGAGTGTTGCCGCTTCCTCCCACGTGACGTGATCATCACGCTTAACGCCAAATCCGAACTGAACTATTTTGAATTGGACTCCGGACGGCGGAGTCAGACTCGCGACCACTGGTCTAGGATCAGGTCGGATATTGGCCGTCCAGAATGTGATCCGTATCCGATCGGATGCGATCCGCAGATATCCGAGTATCCGACGGATCGCTCGGCAAGGGCCCGGAGTGAGCGGGCCGGAAGCGGCCCTCGGACTGCCAAGCTTGCCCATGTCGGCAAGCACTATAACACATGGCGAGACCATACCAGTCATGCCGCAGACTTCGGCAAGCTGTGGCGATGTCCAAATATGGTAACTTGAACACGGACATGACAGCCGAGTATGCGAAGCTATCCGACAGATGCTCAGATATCTACAGATACCGGCTGAAAGGCAATCCGATCAGATACGGATAGAATCCTGATCGGATCAGATATCCGATCCGATAGGAGCCCTAGCGACCAGTCCCGCAGGAGGCATCGCACGTTAAAGAGAAGCGGTAGTGAAATTGAAAGCTGATTCCTGGCTGTAAGTATGAGCGGTACTTAGTTACCGTAGTAATACGAAACGACAACTTGATACCCGAGACAATAGCTTCCGAACTTCCAGAGGCCTGTTTGCGATATTGAGAGATGGTCTGCGTACCGCGTGTCTCACGCAGTGTGTGTATGGGATTGTGCGACGCCATTTCTACAGGGCAATCAGGCTACGACGCTACACGGCATACTCGAGACGCCCTCTGCGGATGCAAAGCCTTGGGAACGCCTCGACATTTCTCCCGGTTCTCTGGCCATCGACGATCAACTCAATGGAGAAAGTGGAGACGAACTGTAATCGACGCGTCCGCAGCGGCTGAGGTGGCTTCTAGTTGGCGGGGGGATCCCTGGCGCAATTGACATAGCACTGAGTGTGTCGCGGAAGAGCTCCGGAAACGGCTTCGTCCGCCTGTAAACGAGGTCTGTCGCCGTATAAGACAGGCTAGTGTTGGGTTTCGATCGACAGTGGCTTTGATAAAGCATCCAGGTTTCCCTTTCAATTCTCAGGCATGCACGAGGAGCTTCAATACGTTTAATACGCAGCCATGATTACCGGTAGTAGCACAGGCTGAAAGGCATGATCGAGTCAAAGATATTACAATGATTTAGAAAAGAAAGAAAAAACTCTCGACCTGGGAGTCGAACCCAGCTTTCGCGCGTAAACGACTCATTGCCATCATGACAAGCGCGTGTACTAACCGATATACTAGTCGAGACCACACAATTGTCAGCGGCACTATTAGATCAAGATTGGCTGACATGGCGGCGTGTTCGACCAGAGCGCGCACATCCCATGGTGGATTCACCGTGCAGAATGCTCGGCGACGAGCGCTTGCAACGGCGACTCCAACATCCAATCACAGGCTCTGCATGCGCTTATTCACCAAATAAACTGAAAAGTATTGAAATGGTACCAGATATATTACTTATTTTTTATTGCACTTGACTCCGAAAGGTCACCGCCCGTGAAGTGCCGACATCAGTGTCAATGGGATGGGCGGCCTGTCACTGACGTGGAAGAAAGTTGATCATCTGCCGAAGTTGAATGCTATCTGACAGACTTGTTAGTACAAGGCGACGAACATTAATATTCATGATAACAATGTAATTCGACAAACCCCATCTCTCAAATTAGCACCGGACGGAGCTTTGTATCACGATGTCGACAGATGATCCCCTGCCGCGATCGATTCGATGCAAACGTCGTGTGCATAGGAATTAATAGAAGTTACAAATTAAGTCGTGTACTCAAGGATCACATACGAATTAAACAACGACTAAGATATTGTAAAGAGAGTGGCGAAGGACCAAGTTGGACGTCGCGAGGGCGCCATCTCACTCTTCGGCTGTCAAGCCACACGCTTTCAAACAGCTATCCACCCCTGCCGCCAGATTGATCGGCAAATGCTTCCTCCACGCATTAATGTTGCTCGCATCTACGGTGTCGGGGAATCCCAGCGCTGCCTCGATCACATCATTGTCGAACTGCAACAGGTTGGTCAGGAGATCGCTGCGGCCCGCATCCGTCGTATCGAACCCGGCGACGAAAACAGCCGGATCGCAGGTCGGGTTCTGCTGGAAGTGCATGCTGCCCCTGGGAAAGACCGTCGCCTGGTATTTGCCGAGCTGTGTCTTCACCACCTCCGTGAACCCATTCTCGACCACCATGGAGGTGTCGAGAACGCCTTCGACGAGGGTGAAGAACTCGTCGCCACGAGGATGGAAGTGGGGGATGTTCAGCCCGCACGGGGCGACGAACGAGACGGCACCGCTGACGCTGAGGTCCGTCAGGATGGGGAAAATGTCGCCGTTGGCTAAGAGGATGGAACCACCCGGGCCGGAAGTCGATTTCGTTTGTTGGTTGAAGTCGAATACGGTGAGCTGTCGGAGCGCGTCGCCCGTGAGGAGGACGCCATTGTTATCCGTCAGCAGCTTCTTGAAACGATCAACTGCGCTGGTCTCGACGAGGAGTTCTGCGGCTATTGCTGCCCCATTTGTGATAATGGGGACTGGGGCTGGTTGGGGGACAGCAGGCGCGGCATGTGCGGTGAGGAAAGACGATACAGCAAGGACGATTGCGGAGTGGAAGAACATGATTGTGTGGAAGGAACTCGTGGCTACAGGTGGGGATGTCAGCAAACGGCAAAGACGTTTACAGGACGAAGACGAACCGGTTAAATATCCTGGCACGGGAAGCCGATAAGTGCAGGCGACCGGGTTGAGGAGGACAAAGGGGACCTCAACCTTTATATATATGCAATGCGGAGGCGGTACGGAGCGGTACGGAGGCATATTACCGGTAACCCGTTCTCTAAGGATCGCGGGGTTCGTCGGGACGTCCCGCCGGCACCAGAGGACTGTATTGCACATACTGCCGTAAGACATGAAACCTTATATAAACAGTTTCGGGTATTCTTTCCAATCCGTACCGCTGTTTCCGCAGTGTATAAGCGCTTGTTTCTCCGATGTGCATAACAGGATCTGTACCCAGTCGAGCGGATCGTTACTAGTGCAATTGATTCCATACTGCGTTGTCACCCGCGCCACTGAATGATTATAATACTCACAGTAACCCAACTCACCTCAAATTTACTTGCTCTAACGTCTGGTACAAGGGAACAGTGCACTGTATTGTGCGTAAGTTCTAATTTACATTCTACGACATGCACTATAGTATCATCAGCCGCAGCCGGCCGGTACATTTGCCGATAATATGCCGAAACGATAGAATGGAATGGCCGTCACTTTAACTCAGGTATCAACTCAGTCAGTCGTACAGCCCCGACTCAGCCACCGCCACCTCGGTAGTTGCTCGGCACGTCGGTCACTGTTGTCCGAGCGCTGCTACTCACGTCATGACTATGATTGAAAGATAAGATATTTTCCCACGAATCGCAGCATCCCAGCCGTCACCAATCATGACGCTCAGTAAATTCTAGTACTCAGCCAGACCTCTAACTGAACGCCACTGTATACTTGAACCTTTCCAGGGAGCAATAATTCGGGTCAGGCCATAATGATCTCTTCCGCTCTCCTTCAGATTTCAACCACCTGCGCGGCGGTTTCAGTACGGGGTCAAATGGAGACTCTATAGAAAAACCCATGCGGATTAGTCTGGCAGGCGACCTGCGCCGCCGCATGGACGCACCCGATCGACGTGTGAGTCGAATATGCTATACAAACTAAAAGGTCAGGATTATAAATGATCAATCATTGATTAGTGCTTGCGCAATACTCCGGATCATTGGAGAGTTTGGTATAAGATAAACAGACCTTCATCAAGTTATTCCACGCAGAAGCCCAGGCCGTTTGATCGGGACACGACTCAGTTACCAACTTCTGTCCTTCGGATGATCCATGTGGCGCAGAATGTGGGGCTGCGAAATTCAATATCATGCCGTGGGATAGCCTCAACCGCAGGCTCGGGCCCGGAATCACAGCAACCACAGGCACCGACTTGGATCAGATCTCACGACATTGGGGTAACCCTGAATACTTCCATTGCATTTGGTGATTTCCCTCCCACAGGTCGTTGAATCCGCGAAAGGCGCCGAAACGCTGAGTGGCTCCGGAGACCCATGCCAGATGAAACGGGCGACTTATGTTTCATGGACATTGATTCCGCTCGGGCTCAACTTGAAGTCCGGTCGGGCTCCACCCGATCCCACTTCGGACCAATTTACGCCTCCGGTGGCCCTTGGAAGGTTTCTTCAGTCTAAATTCTTAAAAGTAATGAAAATTGAACAGTGACTTCCCTATCAACCGAATATGAGCCTCCACAATTTCAATTTATTCTTTTTAAACAAATCGTGACCCTTCCTTATCTAAGCTCGCCCACAGACGTCATACTCGTGGACCGGGCCTGAATCTAGTCACCGTCCTTGAAGCCTGACTAAGAAGGTTCTTTGTGATTTCGGCCCGCTTCGAGTCGTGCCGAGTTTGATCCGAACAATTTGATTTGAAGCACTTGAAGAATCAATTTACTATGAGTGGAACGTTGAACGTTGAATTAGATGGCTCCGTCAGTCGCTAGAGACTCATATTCCTCAGACGTAGATTCATAACTGTTGGCATAGAGTCACTAGAAAGTTGATGTCATTCGCCGGACGTTCCTGCACCACATCTCCGTAAGGGCGTACCAAAGCGCTGTGTGGGTTCATTTCCAATCCAGGCACATATGAAACATTGAAACCTAGTACACACTCCGCCATTTCAGGGATTTACCCAGCCAATGTGTGAATTTATTTTTTCAAAGTATATAATACAGAATTTTTGTAGGTAAAACCAAGCCCAAAATGTAAATTATGTACTAGCATCAATTTATCCTTGAGTCTTTCAAAGAGTTTGCGTGTCCAACAAATGCCAAATATGGCAGAGCATTTGTGGTGCCAACAAAGACAAAGATGAACTTAAAATATAACAATGCATTACAAATTAGACATGGGAACAAAGCAGGTGTATTACTAAACGAGAGTCACCTTGGTGGCATTGATTTAGTAATACACCTGCTTTGTCCCCATGTACAATTTGTAATGCATTGTTATATTTTAAGTTTGTCTTTGTCTTTGTTGGGGCCGCAAATGCCCTGCCATATTTGGCATTTGTTGGACATGTAAACTCTTTGAAAGACTTAAGGTACGTGAAATAACTTGATGCTAGTACATAATTTACATTTTGGGCTTGGTTTTACAGCTGTTGGCAGTACCGAAGGCGCGGATCGAAATTTTCTGTTTTGGGATGTTTTCAAAGAATTATCTATAGTTCAACCAGTTTTGCTCCGATTTGGATGAAACCTAGATAGATCTCTCAGGCTAATTCATCCGCAATTAGTGATAGAAAAAGATTTCTAAAATTATCATATGTTAGGTAATCTGTGTTTTTGGACCATTTTCAAGCCAACTTCCATCTAGCATACCCAGGACATGTCCCAGTGACCTAGTATTTTGGGAGAGACAACATATATACATAGGAAAACATGTGATAGAGCCAGAACTATGTAATATCCTGATATAAATGCAATTCTTACAATATTTCTGAATGCCAAACCTGTTAAATGTATTCAATGGAGCTACAGGGACTGTAACTGAATTATGCATAATTCTGGCTCTATCACATGATTCCCTATGTATATATGTTGTCCCTCCCAAAATACTAGGTCACTGGGACATGTCCTGGGTATGCTAGATGGAACTTGGCTTGAAAATGGTCCAAAAGCACAGATTACCTAATATATAATATTTTTGGAGATCTCTTTCTATCACTAATTGAAGATGAATTAGCCTGAGAGATCTATCTAAGTTTCATCCAAATCGGAGCAAAACTGCTTGAGCTATAGATAATTCTTTGAAAACATCCCAAAACAGAAAATTTCGATCCGCGCCTTCGGTACTGCCAATAGCTATAAGTACCTACAAAAATTCTGTATTATATACTTTGAGAATATAAATTCACACATCAGCTCGGTAATTTCCTGAAACAGCGGAGTGACATCCCTGTAATCTGCTCGGTTTCGACAGCTGTTTCTACTTATGCCAAGTCTCGCTAGCGCTTATGCATAAATGTGCGACTCGTGGTGTGAATCATCGGCCTCCCATCGCACCTCGTTCACTCTATCAATATTGGTCAAAATCTCATCCACTATTCAAAACGCTCTGTGGCTGACTACATGCACCTCAACAGAAACATATGCTGGCTTGATCCCGGCGTGCCATTGAAT